TTATTAAAATTAATATGGATTAAAAAAAAAATAAAGGATTATGAAAGTGTTTGTTATTTAGATCTTTTAGGAAGGTGCTGATTTTCCAAACAAAAAAAAAAACTCTTCGACGATATTAATTAAACGAGCCAACAGTGACACGCATGTAAAATCATAATGTAAGAGATAATAGGGATACGGGATGAGGAATGGAAGAGATGAACGTCTTCTTGGTCGTTTATTCTACGAATGGATAGATTTATGAAATGTCCGATATCTTATTATTATACTGCTCAACACATTCTAATTGACACTACTAGATCATCATTATCTAATTGTCCCTTTGGAATATTATCTAAAATTTTATGGATATTTCTATATTTCGCTTTCACGACTTATGCGAAATTTGCTAATAAATGCGACGATGAAGGACAAGTCCACCTATACTCGCCCATCAATGCACGAGGTATTGAGAAATATTTTCATTTCGGCGTCATTAATCTCGTGTCAATTGCTTTAAATTTAAGTCGAGCGGTAACGAATTTTGTCACTTAACCTAATGTACGTCGCTCAAAGCGAAGAAAGAAACTAAAAAGTACAATCTGATTGTTCGTAAATGTCGTTACGCGTATATTGGCGTTATTTAAAAATGTTCCCATGCTAACCTTCGCACAACGACAATAGCATTAATCGCGCCTTGCCAACGAAAAAGGATACGAGCTGCTTTCGTCATTTCTGAATCAGACGGTATACAGCCATGTTATAATGTTAATAGAGCGCCCCTTAAGTACTTGCGTCAAACGGGTTGTACATGCACTTGAGCTACGCTTATCGAGATATTGATGCAAAGTAAACAAGAGAAAGGAAGAAATGAAAATGCTTCATTGATTTGAATCATGCACCTCGCTCAAACAAACATGCCTTTTATCGTTTAAACCTTGTTTCCATCCACAATATCTTCTGCCAGCCATTATTTATGTGTGCGCATGTAAGGCTTCTTTAAACAACGATATTGAAGAATTTATATCGATATAAATTCTTCTTTTTTTTTTTTTTATAAACTATATTTACAATACACTAGGCTTTATCATTAAAACGACATTAATGGGAAGAAATATTGTTGTATTTGGAAACTTTACGAGTACAACGATTATCCTGCTTCTATAAACAAACTAACCAATGCAATGACAGACTTAAATAAAAAAGATAAAAGATAAAATTACCAATTAATTTGAGGGATTTATTCAAATTTAAACAATTAATTTGCTAATTTGTATATGCTTGATTTATGAGCCAAAGCAACATATATATGATATTATGAATTCTGAATAGGCTAATCCAACTATCTATAGCTGCATAACGAACAGCATAATTTTCTTTTCTATTTTTGCCTAATATAATTTTCATGTACACGTGCATAATCCAAAGCTCCAATTGGATTTGCAATTCATAGTTTAGTCTTCATTATATCCCTATTTCTCATAATTATTTTAATGAAATTTGTTTCTTATTATAGATACTTGATGTTTTTTTTTTATTATTTTTTTTTTTTTTTTTTTTAACATTTCAACTCTTTTCTCCATAGAGCAATGAATTTTACGACGCTCAATAACATTAATTCTATCTCTATCTCTACAAAAATAATTTCTTATTAATTATTAGTGCTAGAAAGTTAAATATTTTTCTCCATAATTAAATAGCTTTTAAAATCATTATTGCATGTTTCGTTAGTTGTAACAATTAACGAAAGGTAATGAAAAATTTATTGAGAAAAGTTATATAGAAATTTGTAGAATAAATAATAATGAAATCAAACACAATGACATATTTTCTCTAGTTTCTTCTTAAATTCTTAAATAAGGCGATACTTTCACAAAATTTTATAGTTATAGTATGTTTTTTTATTACAGATACCATAATTAGGTAAAATATTTCGTCAATTTTTTATTGAAATGTTTATCATTTCAAATTACTATTACAAAATTTTTACATAAATATATTAATAATTGTATCGTGTAGAAATCCATCAAATTTAGTTTGATGAAAATTTTTACGCGGTGTGCGCGTACGAAAGATTATTATAAAAGAATTTGTTAAATTTGGAGACCAAATTCAAAGAATTGAAGTCCTTAATTACTTTTTAAATTATAACGATTTAAAATTTTTAAAATGTTAATTTTTTTTTTTTTTTTCAATAAAATATAATAATAATAATATGTTTTACAATAAGTGGACAAAATGTGTCAACGAATTTCATCATTTTTATTATATATAAATTATATTTTTTTGTATATAACAAAATTTTCATTGAGCGAAAGAAATTGGATACGTGCAATAGAAGTTTATAATTTAACGTGAATGCTGGTGGTTATAATGAAAAATGTTATCTAAATCATATTCAGTTTTACACTTTAAATTAATAATTCAAAGTAAATAAAAAGTACTTTACAATTATTACATATTAAATTCAATTTCATTGTCTGATTTAATTTTTCTTGGAACGGTACTTAATACTTACGACTGCTTCTTTACATTTTTATTTAAATTATTTATTGATCTTACAGCAAGAAAATAATTGTTAATTAATGAATAATTAAATTGCAATTTTTTATCGAATACCGATCGCGCATTTCATTGCCGTTGTTGTTGTATATACATCCATTTATTCCAATGCAGATATTTGTAAAATTCTTTTCTTTTCTTTTTTTCTTTTCTTCTAACATAAGCCACGCTATTTGCTGACTATTTTCATTATTACTATTGATAATTAATTTTCAATATCGAAGAAAAAATTATTTCTTAATATGTTTAACAATCAATGTGAAGATAATGTAGATCTGTATCGTGAATAGACCTATACGTTGCGCATTATCGTTGATTGTCGAAGAAGTCTTCCGTCACGATACGAAGCTTTTTATATCAAAATATTTTAGGTAAAGTAATTATTATACTTTTGATAATACTAATATATTTTCATACATATTCTTGTAAGAAAATGATTGGATTTATAGTTATAGAAAGTTGTAGGTTACTGTAATGTTTTCATGACTGTACACATGTCCAATAAATACAATTAGGACAAAGTTTTGTTTACATCATTGAATTTTCTTTTATCCGCAACAATTTTTTACATATTCAAATGCGTATGGACGAAATTAAATGCTATTTTGCAAATTAAACGTTTAATGCAGCATGAAAGTGTTTTAGAATAAATTCTTAAAATAAAAGTATAATTAAGAAACTGTTTACGACAACACAACACTTATTACGAATTTAGAATATTATGTACGAAGAGGCAAAGCTAGTTTTGGTTGTTTTTCATTTGTTTAAAGTTATTATTTTTGTATGTTATTACTTTGTATGTTGTGAAATAATATATTATTTAAAGAGTACGTTTCCTTCGTACTCGAATACGAGTTCTTGTATTACTTAAATGCCGACAAACAAAAAAACAAAATAAAAATTTCACGCTTTTTCACATTCTCTTAAAGCAAAATGTAAATTAATCGTTGAACTCGTTCCAAACTTAATATAACAAAGCTATTATGTATTTGATATTTTTTTTATTTTTTTTTGTATTATATTTATATAATAATCGTTCGCTCACGCATTATGCAACGGCAATTCAAGACGAAGTATCTCGGGCACAGTTTTCCGAGCCTGTGAAAAATTTCGTGAGTAAATAAATCGAAATGAGATAATTGATAAGGTGAGTTAAATTCCATTCATAATTGATCGATCGATTAAGTCTGAAATATGCCGATACGATAAAGAATATTTCGAACAATAAAATTTGAAGCGCAAGATAGCGATTAATAGAATTTCATAATTGATTATAGTCGAAGATTATTTATAATAGTGCGAATCAGAACGAGTGCCAAATATAATTGCAGCGGTCATTCTAAACTAAATATTTACGCCCAAAGGCTAAGGTATCTTTCTTCAACGCACAATTACAGTAATCATGTAAGTACGTGCATGCTCAGGTGCGCACGCATACACGCGCCGCGTGATTATTCGTCTAATGCACTCGATTATTCTTATGGTGAAATATGATTTGTATTAAATATGTTTTAGGTTTGTCGTGCAAAGGGTGAGCGTTTTATTTATTTGGCGAAGCAGCCTGATAAATATTTTTAATATCCGATTCGTTTTAATGGATTCTCCAATCGCGTAATTTCTTTTTTTTTTTTTTTTTTTTTTTTTTTTTTTTTTTGTTCGCTCTAAATAAATGCTGAAATGCGGAAATGCCGAAGAGCTGCAATGCTGGAACTAAGGGGTTAAGAAGTTGTTTGATCCTCCTTTAGTTCGGACGAAAAGTTAATCTATGCTCCTCCAACGATCAAAGTACGCTGATTTGTGCATTATTTATTATTATTTCTTTTTTTTTACATATATATATGTATATATATTTATGTGTGTGTAATATTATCAAGCAACGGTGAAATTATGCGAACGAAAAATCAGATCTCTATTGAGTGATTGGATTAAGTTATTTCATTAAAAAGCCTTGGAAAGTCGCTTTAAATTATCGTCTTAGCTGTTATAAGGCAGCCGGCGGCAATCGTCTATCAAGACCGGATAGCCGAGAAAAATCGAGAGGGGAGCAGCAGCGAGGATAAATTTCACCTAATTACCATCGTAATGTCCACCTTAGTAGGCACACGAGACAATTACTCGCAAGAGTGCTCTAAATATTTGACATCGAGCTGTCGAGCGCACTGTCATCGCCGTCGTCGACTAGAGCCGAAGCTTACAAAGCCCGGAGATATTGAATAGGCCTTTGATGATAAAAAAAAAGTCGCGTCTCGCTTTGTGCCGCCCTACCTCCGAGGCACCGATGATTATCCGGGTAGGGGGACGGGAGGAAACGGGAGGAGGCGGGAGGAGACGGGGACGGGGACGGGGGATCGGGCCGCGCGGACGGGCATCGTCGACGCGTTCTTCAAAATTAGAGAGGACGTCCGTAATGGGCCGCGGTCAAAGCTGATAGCGGTCAACGCGAGGGCACGTATACTCACTGATGATGTGGACCATGAACGAGGCGAAGACGACGACCCATCCCCAACCTCCATCGGGCGGCGGGGGCTGGTGAACCTCCGTACTATTTCGCTTGGCCTCGGCGTGTTTCGTCGCCGCCGTTGCGGCTACTGTGGCCCTCTTGCCGTTTCTCTCCGGCACGTGCGTCATCCTCGAGCTTCCCGCAGGCACCTCCCGGAGACTCCCTCCAGGTTCTCGCTGGCGGCACCCTCGGCCCGGTCTCCCGCCGGTCAGTTGGCGCTCGGTGGTGCGCGTGCGCGCGGCGCCGATCTCATCGCTGCGGACAGATAGCGGGCGTGAGAAGAGAGGGTCGAATTATCGGAGCCGCATCGGGAGCGAGGAGGTGCTCCCGGCCGACAAGACGGTTCGCGCGCCCGACGTCGACTGACGTCGCTTCGCGCTCCGGGGGCGGCCGCCGCTGCCGCCGCCACCACCACCGCCGCCACCGTCACCGTCGACGCCGACGCCGACGCCGATGCCGACGCCGAAGCCGAAGTCGAAGCCGAAGTCGAAGCCGAAGTCGAAGCCGAAGCCGAAGCCGAAGCCAACGCCAACGCCGACGCCGACGCCGACGACGTCGCCGACAAAGACGCCGCTCGCCGAGCACGAGAGTCCATCTACCTCCGGTCTACGGACTGTCTTCGACCCCCCCCCCCACCCCTTCATCCCTCCCTACCACCACACCCGGACTCGCGCCGCGACTCGCCCGTGGATCGTCCTGCCCGCGAGCGACGGAGCCGTCCCTTCCGCGAGGATCGTACGGGGGCGTCCGGCTGTCGCAGCGCCGCTCGCTTTGTTTACCGCCCAGGCGTCACGGCCACTGTGTCTCCCGGTGACTCTCCCGTTCGCCTAACGATAAAACACCCCGCGACTGGGGCCACCGCTTTCTCTCTCTCTCTCTCTCTCTCTCTCTCTCTCTCTTTCTCTCTCTCTCTCTCGTTATGGCTCGCGCAATCTCCACCACGGGTGCCTCGACTCCCTCGTACATGCCGAACACGAACTTCCCGTATAATTGTCGGCTGTGTTTAAGTCCTGCGGCCCCCTCACTCCTCGATACGCGCGCGCCCACCTACCGTACACCCGCAAAGCCACGGCTCCCCCTTCCCCCACCACCGATACCCCCATCGCCGCTCACCATACAACCTTTATACCCCGTTATTCTCGATATAAATCCACGGCTTCTCACTAATCTGCGAAAGACTCTCTCTTTTCTTATATATACGGCAAGTTGATTACGGCATATACAATGCCCATTCGCCATTAAAGCGCATAGATGTACTCGCGATTAGATAAATTGCCGTCGCTCCGTCGACGGCTCCACTATTCGGCGAGCAGTAGTGGGATGTAATTGTAGATAGACTGGCCTGGCCTGCCTATTCGACAAAATCGCTATTTGTCCGAGAAAACGCTTCGTCTACCTGCAAATCTTGCGTAAATCGAAGGAGATGAAACTTATGCGATCTTAAACTTTTTTTATTCACTTTGTCGTTTCACTGAAGCATTCGTTCGTCACATCAGTTACAAGCAAATCATCGACCACGGGGACAAAAATCTTCTCTCTCTCTCTCTCTCTCTCTCTCTCTCTCTCTCTATATATATATATATATATATATATATATATATATATATCTCCCTCTCTCTCTCTCTCTCTCAATAAATAACAATGCTAAAATGAAATATATATATATAAAGATAAAAGCAAAAAATAAATAAAATAATAAATAAAATATAGCCTGATAATATCAGGAGCCAAAAACTCGATGATTTATTTTAACTAAACATGACTGCGTACTAAAAAATTTGATTTATTCCTAAGCTTTACGCGCCACATACATACGTATCAGTTTACTAAGTATCAAGGTTTATCTTGATACAAACGAAGTTCTATATCGGTAAAATAAGCAAAATTATAATTCTCTCGCGGAAATATGCCGCGATAACCAACGAAAAGAAAAACATTTTCTTAATTATATGCGGAATAAGGAAGAATGCAATTATTTATATGCATGTAAGCCTAAGATTTTACATCTTTTACTCGAATGTTACACTTACATTAGTACATTGATCGTACTCATTGTAAAACTTAACCAACCAATAATAATAACCGTGTAATCCGATAATACTTCGGCAATACTTTTTAGCAGCAAATGCCGTGCTTTATTCTACAGTTTGCCAACGTTATCATCGAATTTTTATAAATAAACCATTTAAATATTAATCATAGGGCCAAATTCATTTTTTTTTTTTTTTTACGTTAGATGACAATTTTACGTAAAATCCATTCCCTTCTATTATTCAAGCATGTAAATTTTTTACTTTCGCACGCTAACCACTGATAAGGAACATACTAATGAAATGGCACTCTCTTTTCTCACTCCTATTTGGAAAAATTTCTTAAAATTACATTATTGATCATAAATGAATATTAAAAGTAGCCATGACTAATTAACGTTGAAATAAGCACGTAATTAATAATACCGTTAAATTTTTACTCGTTTCAGTGTTAGTTTATTTATTGTAATTTTTTTCTCATTCCATCAAGTAATGAATGAAAAATCGAAATCTGAATAAAAATTATTAGGAAATAATGCCTAACGTTCGTATTTTAATAGAGAAATAAGCCGTTTTAGCAGAGTAAGCCGTTTGGCAGTTAAATTAATTTTTAATAAAATGTTTATATCAATACATTCATTATCATTATTTTTAGATAATGTTGATTGTAGTCTTGGTGTTTTTTTTTTTTTTTTTTTGTTTCATCTTATATGATAATTAACTAAACAGTACAAAGTAAATGAGACAAGATAAAAACCATTTTCAATACGTTCGTCGTTGTTCGACCCGAGGTGTCGTAAAACAAAGTTCATAAGAAGAAAGCTTTCTTTCTGCTTTTATTTTCGTTCGAATAAGTAAATTATCGTCGTAATTTTAACAATGATTCATATGTAAACCAATGATTAATAAGGGAAAAATATAGAGCACATGAAAATAGAATAGCGAATTAATTAATAATTTTTTAATAGTAGTGCACGATTTTGTTGTTGCTTTTTTAATTCATAAGTACTGCAATTATATCGAGAGTATTTGAAAATTAAAGAGAGAGCATTTTAAATTGAGCAAGATGTATTATTCGTATTAAATCGGATAATTTATAAAAGGTTCCATTAATTAACGAAAATTGTTGCTATAATTATACTAATTTAAAACAGGCTTTGTAATTATACACATACACTGTTTATTTATAATAATTTTTTGTTATATAGTTTTACAAAGCTTATAACTTTATTTTAGAATTAAAATTCATTTAATATTTAATTATAAATTGACTTTCGTAAAAGCAATTATACTTTTGTGGTATTTGTTATGTATGTTTCTTTATTGGACGTTTTCAAGGTAAGATCAATCATTTTCTAAACATTATTATTATTATTATTATTATATATATATTTAAAGAAAGTCCGTTTAATGCAGTAGATTAAAAATTTTATAATATACCCTAATCAGTTACATAATCAACGTGAATATGCAAATTTCATTCTCTGATAATATAACTAGAATATGATATTTTTCAGAATTTACTTTTCGAAAACATTTTAGAATAATGGTGCATAAAAAATCTTTTATCGATCAAATTTAAAATATAAATGAGGAAATGAGATATTAATGTTACTGAAAAGGTAAAGTATTTATTGATTATTCTAAATATACAATCAATGCAAAAACACATTAAAAATTTGTTAGTAAATATGTAACTCGACATGTGTAACTAACCTGTCTTATCCATGTATCACAATATACCAATATTATTCACTGTAACTTTTACAGTTATGTATTACAATAAGAGCATCAAATGTCATTACACACGCACCGGCATCAAATCGCTGTCAATTCGAGTGCGGTTTTTCCATAATTACAAGTTGACGGGCATTCGATGTGTCCGTAATAAAGACTCGATTGCACATGCGGTGATTGGGATTACGGATCATCGAAAATAATATTTTATAAACTCTTCTCTACCAATGCTTTCTAGAAGTTTCTCGTGCACGAATTTAAATTTAAGTTAAACAAAAAAAATAATGCACAAACACATTCGATGAAACCCGTTACACACGCGCGCGCGTGCACGCACGCACGAAACAATATTAAATTATTTTTACTTTATTGCCAATCGTAAATATTTTTCACTATCTTGTTGTATATATTATAAAAATTATATTTTTGATGCATTCATCACCGAAACTACTTATGCCCATTATGATTAATTGTACATTACGTTTATTACAGATATCTTACATAAATAACTTGTATTCTTTATTTCGCCACTAAAGAGGTAGGACAACGAGTACATATTAACTAGTATCCTATTTGCAAAATGTTTTCTTTTTTTTTTTTTCTTTTTTTTTATTTAAAACGATTGATAAGTATACATTTTATTGCTGAGATGAATAATTAAAACGTAAATATTTATTATTATGAGTTGTTTCTTAAATATGCAATAAATAATTCTATTTTCTTTTTATACAACTCCCAGTCATTATATTTTGGCATAAGAAAAAGGAGATTTTCATCAAATTTACTTAGAAGAGCAACGATTTGTTTGGCATATAAAGTTTTGTATAAAATGTTTAATAACTTTCTTCATACTTGTGTATGCAAATTTATTTAATTAATAAATTCTCTCTCTCTCTCTCTCTCTCTCTCTCTCTCTCTCTCTGATTAATGCAAATAAATACGATGATTATAAAGTTGATTGTACTTTGTGAAGAAAAGAATTATCGTTTCGTTTACTTATTTTGGAAGAGATCTCTTAAAAATATCACTAGTACTGCAATAAAAGTTTAAATAAGATTTATAAGAATTGAAACCTTATACTATTTGAACTTTTTAAAAAGAGTTATTATTTTACGTTGGCTACAAAGTAGAACGATTCGTTTTAGCGGAGTATGAATAGGATTACCTAATACAATGCTGCTCTACTTTTAAAATCATATTTTCTATTCAAAAAATATAATATATATGATGAATTTATATGTTTTAAGGTGAGTTTTGATGGCTTTAAAACTATTTATCCAAATAATAATCTCATCTCTACAATCGAAATGAGGAAATGTTAAGGAATCGCGATATTCTTTATTATTAAACATCGATTAATATTTCAATATAATTGAATATCAGATACAACAATTAGGATTTATACATAGATTGAATTACACATGATATAAAGAATGTAATAATTTAATTTATGATTATCGTCTCGTACGAGATTGTTATTATATTTTA